ATGGAGAATCACATACTCACAAAAGCTCCTTGAAAGAAACTGGTGCAAACGGAAACTTCCTTAGCTCAATGGAGAGCGCGTGCGATAGGTATAACACCAGTGACCAGCAACTTCCGTCCAGAAACTCGAGTGTCCCGTAGGTGTTCTAAAAGAAGAGATGCGGTTTGACTATATTTATCTCCCAATGTTGTTCCGTGAGAATCCAAAGAGACTCGGGTTTATATCTGAACTGCAATCCGGGTTGTAAACAGAATTCACTTTACTCAAACTCCTCCGAATTATTTTGAATACCACTCCTCTGTTTGTGAAAACTTCAGTCGAACTACTTTCACTATCTTACCGTTTTTCAGGTACAAAATCTTGAGCTTCATTTAGACAGGCTTCAATCACAAGAATCATCAATGCAAAGTCGAATTAAAGAGCTCGAAGCACAGTCAGAGTTGGATCGGAAGGCAAAGACGCAGATGCAGGAACAGCTTATAGGTGTATCGGATGCGTTTAGGACGCTGGAAAAAGACCATGAAGAGAAAATAAAAAAGGTGAACAGTTGTTGTGCACTCTGTGGCTTTTTGTTCAACCTGTGGTCCCTAGGATGATGTTTACCTAATAAACTATAACATGTTATTTTCTGAAGATTGAACTGCGGGAAATAACCATGGACAGTTTGCTTAAGCAGTCATTCAAAGGGTACTTGCGAGATAGCAGGTTGACTAACTTGCTATCAAAGTTTGATATCATGATCTACTTACCAAGTCATAAGTAGGCAAGATAAAATGCAAACTTATGTTTGGGAATATCGCCTCCAGAGTCCAACAACAATGCTAATCTAGTAGCTTAGTTTCAGCGTGTGGTGACCAGAGATAACCTTTAACAAACGAACCGTCAACTGTAGAGATTCGCTGAAACCAGAAACCAAAATCATCAGATGAATAATCAATCACACTATCCATTTTTTCAGAAACCTCCAGAAGATCGTTCAAATGAAGGCCTCATTATCACTCACTAACCCAACTACCCTGAACCAACTACCGACTCACTTGCTTTTACTGTTCATCAAGCACTGAACACTGCATTAGGTTGCTCAGACAAAGGTTCATTCAACAGGCATCTGTTAATGAGGATCGTTTCTCACTGAGATCAAACATCCAGGTATAGTCAGCTCCAAATTAGCCCATTCCACACAAGTAATTGTCCTAGCTATTCAGTAACCGTAACCATTCCAAACAGCCAACGTCATCTACATTGACTCAATAAGTCAAAGGCTTTTAACCCTTGATAACATTTCCCCACATGATTGAACATTTTGGTGCTAGCCAGCTAAAAAGAGACTATAACAAGTAGTTGGACCGGGGTTTTCCGCTCTGTTTGTGCTGGTTCTCAGCATAGCTCATCAGGCCTGTCCAGCCTACTGTGAACAGAGCTTTTTCAAAAGTGTGGGTTTGTAGGTAGATCAACTCAAGCCACACGCGCAAGAAAAGTTCCAGTCTGCATTTCTGAACTATTTGGATTGGCGGAGGTATAAAAGAAGTGAGGGATACTTTGTAGATGAATGGCCCGAATAATCCGTTTATGTAAACTTCAAGTGGCCATTTATAAATTCTCTTATTCGAGTTTCTTTGGCTGGCTATAGAGAAATGACGAACCCTACCTCCATCAACGGGTAACTGAAAATAGAATACAGGAATTCAGGTTTCTTTAAACTGTCCTGAGTCAAGAAAAATTAGAATCTGTCCTTTTTAAGTATAGCTTAATGCCCACAAGCCCTTATGAGATGCTTAACTCAAGCGGGGAACTTACTCAATATAGTAGTACTTAGCCGTATATTTTGTGAAAACTACATTCAAGCATGTTTTCGATACTCGCGTGGAAACCTTAAAAATTGCTGTACGATTTCTATCATGCCCTTTTAGTTAGAGCATTATGAAGGCTATGTTGCTGGAATACAAATAGAGATGAAGCGCACGCAGTCGTCTTTGGAACAGACCACTAAAAAAATACAAAAACTTGCTGGTGAACTGAGAATGACGGACGAGGCTCGTCGAAAGTTGGCAAATGAATTGGCTTTCCAAGAAAGTAAACACATTGAAATGAAAAAGACTTTCGCTGAATACCAGTCACTGCATAGGACTCCAGAGACAACGGTGAGTTTCATAGTGTCATAGTTTCATAGTTTCACGTGCCTACTGAACTCAGTTTGTTTTGCATTCCCAATTGTTAGTCAAAGTCAGAAGTCAGAAGTTGGTCGAAGTGCAACTTCTTTACTAGAATGTTGAATTAAGGTAATCAATCCATGTCATCCCCATGAAGGGTCTTTTCACAGGAAACCACGACAAACAATAGGTAGTAGATCTCTCTCAGAAGGGTGAGCACCACGTTTCGGTTGAGACGGAGCACTGCTATGGATTGCTTTTGAGGAGCAGGTACTGAATCTTTTGGAAAAAGGCATTGCTTTGTTGGCACAGCAATACTGTATTGTAGTGACGGACTGCTTTGCCCTACTCTTTGGGCAGATGGAATATTTGTGACGAACAGGAAGTCGTGACAACCATGTCAGAGTAACCAGCCCCGAATCATTTCAATTTTAGAATAACTTTCTCTAGCCTACGGTCTGAGACAGGATAGCTGAAGCTGTAATTACCAAACGAGTACAATGACTCGTACCTTGGAGAAGCGTGTTTTTCTTTTTCTTGGTCTGGAATAAAGCGTGCGATAGATTTAATGAACTAATCTATCCGAACTAGCCCAAGATCTTAACACTGAAGTGCTGAATACTGAGCTCATTGTCCACAACGTCTTAAAAGTAAGATATTATTGAGCTCAATAAACCATCAGTTCAGGTGGATCCTATAAATTCTTACCGTTCGAAAACATATGAATGCGTCTGATGTTCTCATGTTTTCTTTTACTATCACTCCCAGTGATGATGATATCTGTCTATAATTTGGCACAGATAGAATGCTCCTGTGTAATAATAGCAATAAAGAGTTTTTTCTTGAAAAGATGTGTATTAGCAGGAGTCGGATCCGTATGGTTTGATATTTTGGTACCATTACCGTAGTTTGGTGATATGTAAAAAATCAATAATACGCCTTTTCCACTTCCGGTGTAATCAACATCAGACATGCCACGGGATTGCAGTCATTCCATCAGAGCATTTCGATTATGCAGTCATGCTTCTATATGCATCCTCCGATCAGCTCAGAGTGAACTGTTTGATGTGAAATTATTCTGCCCAAAGATTCATCTAAATAAAAGAGAGAAGGAACTTTTACCCTTTACTGCCGATCGTTTTAGCGGGGACACTAGCGCACCAGTGCAACTTTGAAAAGATGAGCAAATTGATGGTCATGCAGTAAAACGATAGATTTGAACATTCCTCTTTTTGTCCTGATGTAATTATTTTGGGTGGTTCATATCGGGATGTATCAGCACTGGCCTTGGATTTTACTTTTACAGGAATCTCATTAGCGGTACACTAGGGATGCACTTGTTTTTTTTGGAAGAGGCAAAATGAGTGAATATTAGAAAACGAGAACACAAATGACTCTTGGTTGCTTAGAATATTTTTCTACGTTGGAGTTCGTATTTTCTATATCGGACAGGATGTAGATGCACACGCCACCGTGGATGAAATTCTCATTCTCAGGTTTCCCAAAAATCTACTTCACAAAGTTTAGAAAACTGACAACAGGCATATCTCACATCCCAGCATTATAACCAACACATCACGTGTCTGGTCTGTACAAACCAAGTTCTTGTTATGTTGACCTTTCCACTGACTTTGAAGAAAGACGCCTGGCGATCATTAGGTTTAGAATCACCGAATCAACGGTCTAATGAAACTCGAGTTGTTATGCTTGCAAGTTACCTGAAGGGCAATGAAGACTGATTTGCATGTGTAGCTGAGGCATGATTCTTTCGTAGTCACTAAGTTATGCTCTGCGTACCTACGAAAAAACGTTGACGAATTGAGTATAGGTGAGTAGGTCCACAATAGTCTTGACCAAGATAGGTGGAGAGCTTCAATAGAAAGGAATTTCCAAGAAACTTCTGCCACAGAGATTGTGATGATCTAGAAATTCATCACTGTTGGTAATGAGGGGACTTTGGAATTCCTAATAGAGATTTTATCCTATGACTGAAGCCGATATGTGCTGAAAAGCTGAAAGGCAGTGTATAATGGTTTCATTCTTGTCGAGAACCATCAGCAGTGAGGATCTCACAGGTCCAAATCTCTCCGGAGTTTTGTGAGACGTGCACTGCTGGTGATTCTCAATAAGGATGAAACAGAGCTTTTCGGTTTCTCAATATAAATTCGATCCGTTTATGACCCGGAATTTGCACTAATAATTCACCATTTTGGCATGTCGCCCAGTGTACATTCCCATGGATCCGCAGAAATTATTGTTTGCCCGCACAATGCCACTTTACCCTAGTAAGGAATACATCGGTGAAATGTATTCTCCAACTGCATCATGTGATTCCATCCACATTAAATTTTATCGCCTTTTCACTGAATAGCTCACTGCTTTACGTATTTAGGTTCAACAACTACGCGAAGAAGTCGAGCGGCTAACCAAGGAAGTAGCACATCTGGAATCAGCCTGCAAAAGCGAAACCAGCCAGTGTGTTGAGTTGGCAACCGAACTGGCAGCACAACAGGTACATGTAATGACCAAGGTAGAAGTGCTGTCTTTGAGATTTTCTTTTTTATTGATAATACCGTGATGTTTCTTTGGTCCAAGGAGAAACCAGTTGATAGGTCTACTAAATAGAGGTGGCGCTAAATCAAAGCCTTGCCTACTCACCCAATGGCGAATTGATGATGTCACCTGGTTTGATGACTAAACGTTTGCAAATTGATTAATTAGCTTAGCAAACAGATCAACAGCCACCTAATCAACACCCGAGAACTTCACCTATCTGATCATTTCGGACCACTTTATTAATCCTTCGAGAGTGTGTGCCACAGAAAAAGTTTTTTACTCTGACCAAGACCTCTCTTTTCGGGATGACAAATTAAACCGCTCTGACGTCGGAGTAGGGATGCGGAAAATATCTCCTCATGATGGTTTATTTTAGTGGAGATCACTGTACTCAGGTCCCTGAACAAACTCCTGCACATACTCCAGTAACAGCAGAAGCCGGGCAAATCTAAAGACATGACAAACTATCCCCAACACTGTTCTCCATAATTTTGGATGACTTTACGAAGTTACGTTTTATGAGATCAGTTTAAAGACTATAAAAGCACATTAATCACAGGTGTGATCACTTGGTTACCTTCACTCGTTGCCGAAGTATATTGTTACTAGACCTGACCAGAAAGAGAGTAACTACCTGATAATTTTATGAGCATAATGGACATTAAACAACAGCCGAGAAAGAGTCGAAACTGGCTACCTGTCAGGACGTACTTTCACATCACCAATAGGATAATCTGAGTTTGTCGGTGCAGGGTGTTGGTTGTGTCCCTAATCAACCTATATGAGGCAGAACTACAGGTCAGCTGAAGAAAGCTGAATACTTGGTTCGGAAGGAACTGTTTGTCGACAGAAACCATCCCGAGTCAGTTCATCTTGCACCAGTGTCTTGTAGCGGGATCTTAGAGAATATCCTGGATTTTAGAAGGATGATTTTAGGGAGTCGAGATGGAATGAGGCTAACTGTTCACTGGTTAGCATCATTTGGTTGATCTATCTTTGCAGTTGGGCAAACAATAAAAAAATTTTTAAAAATAATTTCCAGTTATAACACCCTATCGGTACATAACTGTTCTGCTACCCGATGAAAACGCCAGGGCTGAGATTCTGTCAAGTTGCTCAAACCTAGGAAAAGTCGAGATTTTGGGGTCGATTTTGAATCACAAACCTTGCGGTAAGTAAGCTGGCGCCTTAGCCATTGGGCTATACTGAACTCCAGTTAGTTAGCTTTCTGCGTTTGGAATGTGGCACCCAATTTTTCAGCGTTTTTATCCCTTTTTCAGCGTAATTGTGCTGTCCATTCAACAGAAATGGATGAACTAAGGAAAAGGTTAAACGAAACTCAAGCCGCTTCGGATAAAGCTCAACAAGAACTAGCCAAACTCAGAACGGAGACGGGTGAAATTCAAGAAGAACTTCAGAGAAAAAACCAATCAAATGCTGATCTGTACGCCGAGCTCGGTGGTAAAAAGGAAGCATTAAAAGAGGCAAAGTTGGAACTGAAGAAAATCAAGCGGACATCGGAACAAACGGAAATGATGGTAGGTTTTCTTCGCACAATATTCTATTTTTCATGCGATCTTGAACAGTGGCTGTGGGATGATGCGTTGGACAAATATAAGTCAGTGCAGAGACCAATTCCTCTTGGTGTTCAACTGAGGAGGTAACTGCAAATATAACTAGTGGAACATCTACTTGATGATGAGTTATAAACTGGATGGAACCAGCTGTGGGGTACCGGAGAATTCTAATCAAACTCTCCGTTTACAACATGGAATATTAGTTCGTTAAGTCACTCAATTCAGTAGCAACCTTGTCACGATCATTCAGTAGAACAGTATCTGTAAGTCCTCGTATTTAGGAAATATTTCCAAATCGTCCTCCTTATATCACTATGTAAGTTTTCTACTTCGTTTCTTTTTTAACTCTGCACAGTACCAAGAACTGGAACTAAGTGTTCAACAACTGACACGTCAACTGGAACAGTCTGAAAGCTTGAGAAATGCATCGGAACAGGCAAGCAATCTAGCAATGGTGGAAGCTTCTTCAAGTCGAATCGAATTGGCCAAACAAACTGAAACAGTTAAAAGGCTTCAGAAGCTTCTGGATGCAGCTAATCAGCGTATCGTGTCATTGGGGGCTGATATTTCCAACAAAGAAGTTGAATTGAAGGAGCGGGCTCAAGAGGTCGGTACTGAAAAGCTTACGATTTTCTGGTATCTCCGCCATTTTTCTTCCAGCTTGCCCACTCTTTAAGTATATTATGGTCTTTATCTGCATTGAATTGTCTTGTAACCTTTCTGTGTCGTTGTCCGGCTGCAGTAGTTAAAGTAGACTTCATTCAAGAGCAGGCTACATCAGCTAGTCTGTTCTAAAATTTCAAAGCCAATTCGCAGTCAACATTCAGGTTGACTGTTCACCGTATTTGGGTTGGGTTGAGTGCGGCCACGAGCGGCACATGAATTTGTACGTACTGCATGTATGCCGTGACGAACGCGGAAATAGCATTTTGATGTGTTCTGTCTGACGTCAGCTGTTTTCAACGGTTTCCCTCACTTTTATGTGAAGCATCTTTCGAAGTAAAGTACAACCAAAATTGATAGCTCGTTTTGTCACAACGATTTGTGGGCACTGCAACAGAACTGACTGAAGGGATTTCGGTGTCTTTCCTGTCCTTGACTGCGTGACACTAGTCAAAATTTACATCGATTAAACGTTGATCAGCAGACTTTAGGTCGTTTATCGACCGGCTCATTAGAATAAGCAGACTACAAAAATCACCAAGCTTTTGATCAAAGTGCACGATGTTGATCTTTGTGTACTATTTTTTTCTATTTACCTTCAGTCTCGAAGATTTCGAGGTCATGGAATGGGTTGTGCAGTAGAAAAGGCGTCCGCTTTGGTCTTAGTAGTCCGCAAAAATGTTTATTTTGTCAAATTCATTAATTCGTCTGTAATCAAAGCCTTGCCTTTTTTCATGGGTAAATACAAATAAGTTGGCTCTGAGACACCATGAGACATTTTCAGCTCACGATATAAGTTTTGTATGAGAGGTGGCCCACACCGACTTTAGTAGTCCATAATTAATGACTATTTCCCAGCTGGGAACGTCGGCGAATAATCATATTTTTGAGCTGATATTCCATTGGTTAAAATGCCTGGGCTGCGACCTTGATTCGGTGTGGTACTGGAGCTTTGTGTGTCTTTAGAGTGGCTCGAATGACTGAGTGAATAAAATGGTGGACTACTAATGAAATAATCCGGGTTGAAGACCCACTTAAGGGCCTTCAGATTGGCTGCTAATTTCCTTCTCGAACTGTGTACCTGTTGTGTTTGTGATCAAGATGTAAGAAAAATCTTTAAGTATTCTCGCATTGAATGACTTCTGGTGCGAATTCGAGGCTTTCGCCTCCATAGAACGTTGCTGGGAAATTGCCTGGACATATAGAATCCTGAGCAATTATTTGCTGGCGACAGCCATAGTGAGTATAGTAGACTGGTGTTGTATGCTCTACCCGAACCTTGGTTTTGTATGCCTTCCTTCTGGGGCTTAAGAAATATTTGCCTGTGAATACTGCGTCCATTATGCATACTGACGAGCACGCGTCTGTTGAATGCCCCGTCTTCTGAGAGTTTTCAGCAAACTTATCAGATATCGTCAATCCTATCAAAAGATCACAGAAGAAAATCGAGCTCTGAATCTCACAAAATCAATTTGGGGGTCATCACAGTGTCCTAATGAAGGAGAAGATTGTCTGTCATTGGCGTCCCCGAATTCTCTAGCCTGGCTATATGTGAAGAGGCAGAGTTTGGAACTACGATCCGCCATAGTTCATACTAAGGACTTATACAAATTAGCAGAAGTTGAGTGCTAAATGAACACAGCTCATTTCGGTCTTCTCATAGGCCTCCAACCCCGACTGCAGTAATTAATTAAAATTGCGTTGGTTGTCCCAAAGTCCCTTCAAATCTGACTTTATATATTCTATCATTCTGCAAAAGTTGATGTGGTTACACTCGAAAACCAAGTGTTTCACTGAGATACTGGTGACCGTAGAGCGTTTGTAGAGCGTTCGAATAGACACACTACTCATAAGGTTGCTGAAAACCATTCACAGTACACGGCTGCTTTGGCTCTTCTCGGGGTTCAGCAATTAAGGGCAATCACCGAATTCCTGTCAGCCTTATGTTCAACTTGAACTCAAATGGCACGAAATTCGACCTATACACTCATCTGCTTGCCAATGTGGTCTTGACGGTAGACTTACCTAAAACCCAGCTGGATCTGTCGTTTATGATGTTCTTAATCACCTTAATGTGCTGCACCAGGCCGCCTCATGTTTCAGTTGGTGCGATATTCGAGATATCACATTAAGAACACCCGTTGTAAGGACGCGTTCAGACCGAAAATTACGTGTCGGGAACGACGCGTCGCAAAGTTCATCATCGGTGGACACCTGATCCTAATGCTGGAGTGGATACTATCAATCGCGGCATAGCAACAGGCGCCCCGCAGAGCGGGTGACAATAGTCAAAGTAGGACAAGAACGAACAGGCATATTTGACCAAACAGCCATCCTACGTATTTACGCACTAGCTGTGTATGCTGGACAGACAGTACAGGCGTGCTCTCGAACTTCAGCCTTCTCCTTATCACGTATTCTGACAGGCCCGATTCAGGCGTAACTCAGGCTTCCTCACGCTGCAACACCCATCATTACTTTGACGGTCGTATGGGGGCGGTGTGCTTTAGGGTGTGCGCACTGCGTGAAGACAAACACAGGTCCGCTGTAGTCAGTTTACTTCATAGTAGCTAAGACGTCGTTTGTGGTGAGTAATGGTCGAGCGCACACACTGTGTAATCCCCTGATAACCGAGAGTAATTATGTTTGGATGAAAACATCATTGTCAGACATGGGTTGTAAATAAATTGTCGTAGCTGATATTCTTGTTCGCTAGTGTATGATGAAATTGCGGATTTCAGTCACATTTTTGTACTGTATTTTATTATTATTGGATGGTGGCACATAACTTGTAGTCCTATGCCTGAAGGATCGGGGTTTAAGTGTGCCAACACGCGAACTGACAGAGCCTGGTGTTGACGGTCGTAAAGTGCATATGCAAAGTGAACACAAACACCGTCAACATATTTGCGAAGCTGATACCACGAAGTCTGTTCCAGGTTTACAATTTGACAAACAAGCTGATTAGGGCTCTCACCCCCCACGCAATGAATATCTCAGTTAGAAGGCGGTCTATCGTTTGTCCGTTCAGTTCATACGAACAGTCAGTTAGCCGGTGGACCAAAAAGTTTTCAGAAGCCTGTTGTACGAGTTTACCACTTGTTTTGGTTGTGATATAAATCGGCTGTTCACGCAGAGCTCCAGTCAGGTGACTTTTTCGTTTACTGATCAGTTGGTTGTCCTTGCAAGTCATTGCACTGGACGAATCATGGCTCACTTTGGAGCTTTGCTGCTTAACTTTCACCGTTTGAACCATGTGACCTTGATGTAACTGCTGGTCTGAGTAAGTGATTTTAGAAATGACTGGTCTCCCAGTTTGTCCCCTGAATGCAATCATGCAGAAGTTCAGACAACCGACCGAGTTATTTAAAATTTGCCCGACCTTAAGTAAGACTTCAGGTGTTTTTTGAGGAGAAAACTTGGTGTATCAGGAATAAAAGACTAACAAAGCACAACGCACCCAACCTTCTGCAGCTCACTGCCAAGCTATCAGTGAAACGAGTATTCTCATTTAAGTGAACGGTGTCCAGAAGTGTTTACAATCATCCAGTTTCAAGTGTCATGTCCTTTGTGGCTTAGTCAAATTCCAGGTTTTAAATCCGGACGCCCGTCTGTTCGATCGTTCTGTCCATATAGCAAGAGAATAAAATGGCGACCATTCGACAAGTGGAGTTGGAGAAATCGCACTTGAAACAGTCTTGTACAGAGTTGGAGGGAGAAGTTAACATGTTACGTGACAAATTAAGTTCTGTACACTCGGAGCTGATCAAAACGCAAGAGAATCTGGAACAGTTCAGATCCGAACGGGATAATGAAGACAGTTCGCGTGATCGAATGAAGGTAAGATATAAACCAGAATTCCAATGATCTGCTCATAAGTCTTCGTCCAATTTGTGCTAATTTCTTGATATCGTTTTCCATCTTACAGCTAGAGCTAAAAAATCTCCGAGAGACTCATAGTGTTCTTGCAGAAGAATCAACTCAACGAGAGGCGCAGATTGAGACGCTTCAACAGAGGATTTCAGAAAATCAGACCAAAATCCGTGAACTGTCCTCATTAGTGTCGGAACGAGATGAAATAGTGGAAAAGTTAAGGGTGAGCTACTTCCAGTGACGTGCCTATTGCATTGGTACTTTTCTAACCCTGTTTGCAGCGTAGTTTCCAATTGGATGTAGGTGCCATTGGTATGTCGTGCCGAATATCTCAAGCCATGTCCATACTATATCCTGCCGCTGAATTACAGAAGAAAATACAGTGCAGTTCGTTCGTCTCTACCCAGCTACTTTGTTCTAAACTCAATAGTCGTAGTGTAATACTATAATACTAGTTTGTATATCTTGTTTGCTGATATGGTTTATTCCTTGGATATAAAAATTCCTGTTACACAAATTTTGGTTCTCCTGGTGTATCGAGAAAAAAACACTGAAAGCGGCAAATGATTTGTTCAACTCAACCCGGGGAGCAATTGCTACTGAAAGCCATACTCCATAAAAAACGTTTGCCGATACCAGCTGCCAAGCTGTGGTTTGACTACTGGCTAGCTAAATTCATACCTGTGAGATACTATTCTTACGGATTTCAGAATTTATACGTAGGTTTACAAATGCCAGTAAAGAAATTATCAGTTTCCCGTATCTTTCATTTTCTGAGATCCTGGAGGGATGGAGTTAGGCGTAGACAACTGATTTAAGTCGGGCCAAACTAGGAAGGATACTAATTATACGGCATTGGTTCTCTGCCATGGCGAAGTATTTCAAATAAACAGAGTGTCTCATAATAGACGCAAAAAATAATATTCATAGTAAGCTTTAACACTAATTTATACGTTTATCATTATTTACGCAACCATACGTGCATTATGGAGGTTTACTATAAATAAACTGTCATTACAAAAAATGTTGAAAAAGCCGCCCCTTTCTTATATAACACGTTGGATTCGGTATTAGATTTGAGACAGCACGTTTAACTTCTTCAAGCGTCACTCGTGCACACTCCTCTTCAATTCTTGCTCTTAACTCCGTCAAATTCTTCGGTTTACTTTCATGATATACGCGGGCTTTGATCAGGGTAGGGTGATTCTGCTTCGCGGGACACTTCTTCTGATAGAAACTCATGCACGGGAGAGCACATTCCGTCGGCTCGGAATGAAATTCTTTTGGAGGGAACAACTCGCATGGTGGAAATAATGACCATGAATCACATCGTTCATCGATCACCGTGGATAGTTCCTGTCATTCAAGTTCAGCATGTATGGTTAATGCGAACACAGCGTCGACCTTATTGTTCAACTGGCATGCGTTATTTTACTATGGCCAATGACTTGTGAATGGAAGGACAACTGTAACTGACCTAATCAAATAGGGTTGCCCCAACATATTACCGATCAACATTGAGTTCTGTTGGAACATTCGCTAAACCTCGTTATCAGAATGACGCTGACCTTGAGTTAGTGCCGTTCGAATAATGAGTGAATCAGTAATTTAATGAGGGACTCGTTGGGAGGGTTCGGCTAATAAAGAGCTGTATGGGTGGATGTCACATCCCGTTGCCCAGGTTCAAAAAGAGGGTTTGAGAAAAGTACCTCACGTTCAGACATTGAAAGGCCTGACTTACAAGGCGGTGGAAGAACGTGGGGTTTCGTTTAGTGTCATCTCATCTGGCTTATGACTCGGAAGTCTAAACTGTGGTTGATAGGGTTTACCCGAGGGGTCCGTCCTGCAGCCAATGCTTCAATGGCCTGACCCGCGGATGGGGTTTGGCCTGGCCCGAGGAGGCAGGGACCAAGACATAACTGTCTATCTCCTAATACGGCTGCACGTAGTGGATGCTTTTTAGACAACAAAAGACATATTGGCCTTACAAGTATTTCGACCATATGGAATAATACGCCAGCGGTCACCATAAACTGTTGGGTACTCGGAGTGTGCGGTTTTGGGGCCGATATCCTCTGGCCAGCCCTTTTCCGGAGGGCGGATGGAGACGGCATTGCTGATTCCATGAATACGAACTTGCTGGTAGTTCGAGAGAAAAGCCTTACTGCCTTCACACTCTCATCACAGAGGACAGTAAGATTCTATCTCCAGAGCACGTTGTAATACAAAACCCTGCAAAACGAGAACTCGCTGTTCTTCGTCGGGATGTTTTACTTTGGCCTTCCTGGTATCGCTGAACCTCTGTAAACTGGTCCTGGAAGGTGCGCCTCGCAAGATCATTATCATCACGATAAGGTGACAGCTTTAGGTCGGGAAATAATGAATCGAATAATGTCACTGCGTGAAACAACCTCAGCCATTGGAGAGTTCTACTATGTGAGCGCTGCTTACTGCGACTGATCAACCAACGAAAAATGGTGCGCCAAAATGATGCGTTGTCAGCCCAATCTGACGACAGTAGTAATCGAAACTACCGTACGTTTTACGTCCATGTACATCCAATAGTTGACACCAGAGGCACCATGCAATTTTCGCTGCTTTTAATATTTTTCTCACTGTATTTCGTTTGTGCAAATTATTGGCAATTTTGACAAGGCATTGTTTCTCTTATGTTGTTTGGTGTTATCTTGAAGTTCATCCAAGATGTCTTGACGCTTGGGTTGCTATGGCATTATCAAAGGCATTTGTCTCCAAGTCTTATCACTGACATTTTCAGAATGTTACCTTTTTTCGCCTATTTTCAAGTGATGACAACACACTACTCCACTGTGGACGCACTTAGTTGTTACGATAGCTAATTCAGTATTTCGGTACGAATCCAGCACTATTACTCATTTTGACCACAGTACCCTGGTCAGCGACAGGGACAATCGATTAGGCAGCAAAATTGGTGCATCCATGCCTTGCTTGTATTTGGGGGATGGTTCATCGGTCATGGATCTATGGCACTTTCCGTGTCTATGCTGTTATGCGATTAATGGACCTGTATTTATTGAGAGAGCAGTTGTATTTTGGAAAGTTACATCTGCTCTGCCCAGGTAGTAATAAGTCTTCCTTAACGTACGAAAAGTTAGGCTGTTCCGGAGATGTTAACCAGTACATAACAAATATACATTGATGGTTGATGAGATACTGAGACCGTTGAAAGTCCAGTACCGGGCTAATTAATGTCGTTCTAAATAAACAAAAGAAGTAAAGGAATAAATCCCGGATAACTGCTGGCAGCGCATCCGAAAATTCACGTAATACTACTCAAATCAAAGGGTAGCAGTTAGAGATTCGCATCGTTATGAAACCCCACAGAATTGCATGGCGTTTGACACTGCCGTGAGTTTCAGATGACTCGACCATGAATACCTGCGTTGTAGATATTTGAGTTCGCACATAGTTATTTAAAAAAAGATGACTGACTTCAGTTGTGTTCGCTGGTTGAAGTGGTCGAGTGGAAGGCGCAAGTTTTTTTGTTATTTTTTTACCAAAAGTTCTCTCAATGTTACATTTGTTTGAAATACGTAATTAACTGCATTTGCAATTCGTATATGAATACGAATTAATGAAAAAAAAGCCCATGGTACGGCATTTCAAGTCCAGTCACAGGCGAAATATCTAAACGTAACAGGAGGCAGTAAATACAACTTACCCTACTATACTAACATTTCTGGTTTACAAACTTTTACACATGTGATCAGACTACTGACTATATTTCGAGTCGGGTAGAAATTTTTCTGGTAGTCCTAGTGTTAAGCCCGGAAATATCAGTAATTTTTATGGGAAAACCTGCCATAAAGACCAAGTGGACCCACCAGAACCAGACCAGAAAACTACCACTCAGACAGCAATTTGTCATTCAGTACGCATTTTCTTCACCGTCAAGTTGCCTTGGGAATCAGCTTCAGATTGAATGACGAAGAATAATAGAGAGTAAGCAACTCTGGACACGAGGCTCCATGTTCCAGACTCTCAATTATTCTAAACGTTAGATTCTGTTTGGAAGGAAATCTTCGCATAAGTGGACAATTGCGGTTGATCATGCGGATGTCCCTTTTCAAGAGTTTTGTCGTTAAGCTGACAAAGACACCGTGAGCAGATGCGAAACGGACGAATAGCATAGTGTGGGTATGATCTGCACGTCTATCATCGCGTGTTACTCACGTTACATGGTGGTATACAGTATGACCTTCTCACCAATAACACTTCTCCAGAGCCGAATTGCTTTTTGGAAGCTTCTTGTGTTGTCATACAGAGAAAAACAGCACAATAATGCCCAACTAGTTCTCATCAGGAAAGAAGCACTGTGTGGACCAAAGATGGTAGCTTTCAATAGGCGATAAAGTATGGTGATATTTAGACAAAGGCATGGTCGCGATCTAGGAAAATAGTCCACCTTGTCATCGAAATGCCGTTGCAAGGAAATCCTTATGTACCACAGCGGAACGTCTGTAGCTGACAGTCACGTTTCTATCGCTGGAACATCCTCTGTTTTTTATTTAGTGTTGATGTCGATCGGATGACTCCGAAAGGGACCAACACTCAATTTCCCGTAGATCCAGTAAGCATAACTT